AACGTGGGCAGGGGTTTGGCCTGGGGGAGGGATTTGGAGAGGGGACTACCCACTTCAGGGACTGAGGCATGCATAACTAGGAAGGGTGAGCAGATCCAAGGGTGGAGTGGGGCTTGGTGTAAGCAAATTAGGTAGTGAGTGTCAGTGTTGCACTGGTTCTCACAGGTGGCTATGTGCCTACGCTAAGGAGCAGGGGAGGGAAATGGCACCTGCCAGTTTCTTTGTTCCTGGAGGGGTGTCTCCATGAATGCTCTCTCTCTGGGAAATGCTCCAAGATGAGCAACTAACCTTCCCACTGTGTGCCCTGGGCACTCTTCAGATCATTGTTTCTACGCTGTATGTCCACAGGTCGTTTGCCTGCCTTTTCTCTAGGAACTGCGCGGCGCCCTCCAAGCTCTCCTTGAGCAAAGCCCACTGACCTTCAGAACACCAAGCTTTAAGCCCTGATGCTCGCAAGAACTCACGAAATTCAGCCCCTCTCACTTTCCAAGCCAATTGCTATAGGGGCTCTAGTACTATATGTGCACTCCCCTGTGTGAGTCTGTCTCTTGCCCTTCTCCACGACTCCACCTCCCTCCCTACCACAGCAGCTCTGATCCACTTTTCTCCCAAACCACGTCTCCATGCTTCCTGCCTTCTTCAATGCGGCCTCTTCTCTACCTTTAGTTGTGGAGTATGTTCTGCCAGTCTTCAGGTCAACAGGGTATTCAGGATGATTTGCTAGTTATGTAGTTGTACTTGTAGGGCGAGGTGAATCCAGGGTCCTCCTACTCTGTTGCCATCTTCCCCTCCTACACCCACTGTCCACTTTAAACTATAATAAAGCTATTATTAAAAAAATTCTTTGGTTTTTTTCTTTTGCTTTCTATGTTAACAGAAAAAAACGTTAACCTTCTGTGCTTTTGTAGCAAAAAGGCATAAAACTTCACAATCATGTGGATATTTTCACTTAGTACTGTTTGCAAATACCATTTTTATACAAAGAACTCAGCTTATGTGAATATATATCTTAAGATGGAAATCAAAGATTTCTCCCAAACTTGTAGAAAAAACAAATCGAAAAAAAAAAAATCGAAAAAAAAATTAAAAAAAAAAATCGGACCCACTTAAGGGACATAATCTACCAAACTGCTACATTGTAGATCTTAATCATAGGTTCCTGTTACTCTTTAAGTAAAGTCCAAATTTCCAGTATGGCCTATATTTGACTATATAATCAGAGCCTACTTATCCCTCCAGGCTCCCCTCTCTCTCTTTTTTTTTTTTTTATAAATTAATTTTTATTGGTGTTCAATTTACCAACATACAGAATAACACCCAGTGCTCATCCCGTCAAGTGTACCCCTCAGTGCCCGTCACCCATTCACCCCCACCCCCCACCCTCCTCCCCCTCCACCACCCCTAGTTCATTTCCCAGAGTTAGAAGTCTTTATGTTCTGTCTCCCTTTCTGATATTTCTCACACATTTCTTCTCCCTTCCCTTATATTCCCTTTCGCTATTATTCATATTCCCCAAATGAATGAGAACATACACTGTTTGTCCTTCTCCGGTTACTGTGGCCAAGTTCAAAAAGGGTGTTGCCTGAGTTCTTCTCTGGGATTTTGATGGAATCTTGTCTCACATTTAGATCTTTCATCTATTTTGAGTTTATCTTTGTGTATGGTGCAAGAGAGTGGTCCAGTTTCATTCTTCTGCATGTGGATGTCCAATTTTCCCAGCACCATTTATTGAAGAGACTGTCTTTCTTCTAGTGGATCGTCTTTCCTCCTTTATCGTATATTAGTTGAGCATAAAGTTCAGGGTCCACTTCTGGGTTCTCTGTTCTGTTCCATTGATCTATATGTCTGTTTTTGTGCCAGTACCACACTGTCTTGATGAACACAGCTTTGTAGTACAACCTGAAATCTGGCATTGTGATGCCCCCAGATATGGTTTTCTTTTTTTAAAATTCCCCTGGCTGTTTGGGGTCTTTTCTGATTCCACACAAATCTTAAAATAATTTGTTCTAAGTCTCTGAAGAAAGTCCATGGTATTTTGATAGGGATTGCATTATACGTGTAAATTGCCCTGGGTAACACTGACATTTTCACAATATTAATTCTGCCAATCCATGAGCATGGAATATTTTTCCATCTCTTTGTGTCTTCCTCAATTTCTTTCAGAAGTGTTCTGTAGCTTTTAGGGTATATTTTGAGAACCATTTGAATGGTAAATGGTTCTCCAACCTTTTATTTTCAGGTTGTAGGTGTCCTTCTGTCTAAAATGAGTCTCTTGGGGACAGCAAATAGATGGGTCCTGTTTTTTTATCCAGTCTGAAACTCTGCGCCTTTTGATGGGGTCATTAAGCCCATTCACGTTCAGAGTTACTTGAACTTCTTCTTAAAGGGGAGTTTTAAGAGTCCCCCTTAAAATTTCTTGCAGAGCTGGTTTGGAGGTCACATATTCTTTCAGTTCCTGCCTGTCTTGGAAGCTCTTTATCTCTCCTTCCATTTTGAATGAGAGCCTTGCTGGATAAAGTATTCTTGGTTGCATGTTCTTCTCATTTAGGACCCTGAATATATCCTGCCAGCCCTTTCTGGCCTGCCAGGTCTCTGTGGAGAGGTCTGCTGTTACCCTAATATTCCTCCCCATGAAAGTCAGGGACTTCTTGTCTCTTGCTGCTTTAAGGATCTTCTCTTTATCTTTGGAATTTGCAAGCTTCACTATTAAATGTCGAGGTGTTGAACGGTTTTTATTGATTTTAGGGGGGGATCTCTCTATTTCCTGGATCTGAATGCCTGTTTCCCTTCCCAGATTGGGAAAGTTTTCAGCTAGGATTTGTTCAAATACATATTCTGGCCCTCTGGCCCTTTCGGCGCCCTCGGGAACCCCAATTAAACGTAGGTTTTTCTTCCTTAGACTGTCATTTATTTGCCTTAATCTGTCTTCATGGTCCCTTAATTGATTGTCTCTTTTTTCCTCAGTTTCCCTCTTTGCCATTAACTTGTCTTCTATGTCACTCACTCGTTCTTCCACCTCGTTAACCCTCGTCGTTAGGACTTCTAGTTTGGATTGCATCTCATTCAATTGATTTTTAATTTCTGCCTGATTGGATCTAAATTCTGCAGTCATGAAGTCTCGTGAGGCCTTAATGCTTTTTTCTAGAGCCACCAGTAGCTGTATAATGGTGCTTCTGAATTGGCTTTCTGACATTGAAGTGTAATCCAGATTTTGTAACTCTGTGGGAAAGAGGGCTGTTTCTGATTCTTTCTTTTGAAGTGAGGTTTTCCTTCTAGTCATTTTGCTCAGTGCAGAGTGGCCAAAAACAAGTTGTATTGGAACACGGGGGAGTATCACTGGTCCCTCTAGCTGGTCTTCTGGGGGAGGGGCCTGCTGTGCTGATTTTCAGGTGTTAGCACTTGGGGGAGCTGCTCTGCCCCTGCCTGCTGCAGGGCTCAGCGGGGGTTGTTTACCCCCGTCAGGCCCCAGGAGGAACAGTCGCAGTTGCTATGGCAACTCTGGAAGCCTGGATTCAGCCTCCGCAGGAACTACGGGGCTCGGGGCTCTCGGTTCTCCGTCCGCAGGGCCTGGAGGCTCCGGGGCGGGGCCGCTGATCTGCTCAGCTCGGGGCAGGAGCGTCCTCGCTGTCTCGGGCCCTCCCGGCCTCTGCCTGTCCCGGGGGAGGCCGGATCCTGGGCTGTGTCCCGGCGCCCTGTGCTCCGGGGCCTGCGCTGGTGGATTCGGGCTCCCGCCCCGCAGCTCCCTCCCTGGAGCCGCCGCCCGAGCCCCTCCGAGCTGCTCTGGTCGGTCCCTCCGTCAGGCTCCCCTCTCTAATCCATCTTTGTACCTCATCCCCTCACACTGTGTGCTCCAGCCATTCTGAACTGGTGAGCTCCTCCTCCTGTATCAGGCTCTAGCTTGGATATTACTTTCTCTGGAAAGCTTTCCAAACCTTCAGCTCTAGGTTAGGTACCTCTCTTGACACTCTCGTCTATTTAAGTACGTGATTCTTCCATTAGAGTAAACACTTCAGGAGGGCTGGAACCCACTGTAGCCTTAGTGCCTATAACTAACTGCCCAATATATAGTACAGCCTCAGTACCTAGTGAATTTGTTTGAAAGTATATCTGTTCTGCATTCTGTGGTAGAATCTCCCAATTCACACATCCCAGGATCTACAATGCCGGCCTATTACAAAGCAGGCACCCAATAAATACTTATTCATGACTGGATTTCAGTCTTCTCATCTGAAAAGGGAACACTTAATTCCTTCCCACTATAAAATTATTTTTATTTTTAAAAAATATTTTATTTATTTATTCATGAGAGACACAGAGAGAGAGGCAGAGACATAGACAGAGGGAGAAGCAGGCTCCCTGCGGGAAGCCTGATGCGGGAATTGATCCCCACACCCAGGGATCACACCCTGAGCCAAAGGCAGACGCTCAACCACTGAGCCACCCAGGTGTCCCAAAATTATTTTTCTAAGAAGGAAAGAAAACTACAAGAGATCCCTAAAATACATAGGAATATCTGTGGAAATGATAACTCCAACTGGCAGAAAGTAAGCTCTAGTGAAAAAAGTATTAGCTTAAGTATATTTTGATCTAATATGTGTTTCTGTTCAGCCACTACTTATCTTTCCCCTTATCACTAGATCAATATAAACTGTGAAATGGAGGCCAAGTAGGGGTGTTGACTGGCAACTTTGTCAAAAGAAGGGAGTGGGAACTAAAAATGTCAAAAAGAAATAGCCACATATAGTAACTAATGTTGCTGATAATTTATATGTAATTATCTTATTTTTCTCAGGCAACAGAGTAAATACTACCATAGTTGACAATGGTCAATTCTCAGACGTCAAAGATGCCTAATACTGTCTCACCTCTGTAAAGCCATAAGCCACATTCCAAGCAATTTTGAATCATCTAGATTGTTAACTGACAATGAAAGAAAGGAAAAGAAAAGATTATACATGGCTACGATGATTAACTGCCTTACAATCATTACCAATCCTCACCATGTTTTTGGAGAATCTCCTGGAGATCTGGCTTGGACACAGTATCCAAAGCGCCTTCTCCATCAACACTTCCTTCGGTATCCTCTTCCACAGCAGAAGAGTCTACTGAGACAACATGAAGTTTGGTTTCCAAATCTTGAGCATCTGGCTTCAAGAAGGCAGCTGGACCATCAATGCCTAGGGTACAAAAGAAAGGAAAAAAGAGGAAAGTATTATCTGTTATTTGGCTGGGTGGTTCTGGTGTATATGATTAGAATTAAGAACCAAAAAGCATTTCACTTCTTCCTTAATATCCACATGGACATTTGTCAATAGAGGAACTCAGGACTGGTGTTCATTTTATTAACATGTTCTGACTGTTACCAAATAAAATGTACTTGATGTTATACTTTAGAAACCAAAGAATGAGATCATGAAAACAAAGCAGGCCCCTCAAAGTTCAGATCCTGTCCAAGTCAACAGCTCACCACTTCATGTGGTCCAATGAGTCCTATCTATTGGAAGAATGGGTGCTCTCAACTACTCTTGGCATCGTGGCTTATTCTGTCATGATGCAACAATCAAGACTGTATGTTCCTCAAATAGGCCCTTCTGGACTAATTCATTTGGCAGTGAAAACAACAGTTTTAGGATGGACACATACTGCAAGGTACCTTCCACTGATCAAACCATTGCTTTTATTTTAATTCAAAGACCCAGAAGATTTATGAAGGTACCTAGTAATGATGCTAATATTGTCCCTCTGGTCCATCTGAGAATCCTCCTGCCTTCTGCTAGGTTTTTGAAAACTGTACCCTAGGGGGAAGGAATGCTGCCTAAACACACACCATGTAGGATGACCTCATTCTGTGGGGTATGAGGTTCCACCAAAGGAGTTTGCTCCTCGCTACCTCTTGGCTTTGATCGACGTAGCCTGGCTTCTGGATTTGGTTGTACCATGAGCGGCTCAAGGCGCTTTTTTCTCTGCTTCTTCTCCAGCAGGGCTCTCTAGGGAAAAAAAATATGATGTTATAGCCAGGAGAGTTATGACAAGACCTAGCTGCTTCACACATTTACATTTTTTCACTAATCCTCACAAACCTCTTATAAACTAATTTATCATGCTTGAGACATGGAAAAATTGAGGCAAGAGAGGGACAAGGATTCACTCATTTTGTTTAATAAATATTTACCAAAAACCTTAAAAAATCTATTTAAAATGATACAAATGCATTTCTAGTCAAGCTGAGTCCATGATCCAAGTTATTTAAAATACTTACAGTATCATATTATTATTTGAGGATGGTCACAAGTTTATATAAAAACATATGCATAGGAGAAAAGATGAAGAAATACAGTAATGGTGATTACTTCGGGTGGTAGGATATGGATTTTTCCCCCTTTTTCTAGTTTTCTATATTTTTCCTAATTTTTTTACTTTTATAATGAATAGAAAAATAAAACTTATTATCCTCTAAACCTCAAATTATTTTCCATTTTAATCAGCTACAGAGTAGTAAGTTTTGCTTTCTTGCTCATTTTTTACAGAATGAGAAATCAAACAAATCTGGGCCAAGGATAAAAAGGGAAATAAATTACATTCCAAATAGAAGGCAATTACTCTGTGGCTAAAAGTGACACAGAGAATATGGTAACAAGGAAAGACAGGGAAAAAGCATGAGGACTATGAGAAAAAAGTCCAACAACATGAAAAGGAAAGTACTAGTATATATATTATTTTTAAGCTTTGGCAATTAAGAGCTTATAATACCTGGAAATTATTATGGATCTGGAATATTTCAGAATAGGAGAGTGCCAAGCCCCAACCTAAAAAATTAAGCCATGATTTTATTTATTTATTTTTAAATATTTCTTTTTTTTAAGATTTTATTTATTTATCCATGAGAGACACAGAGAGAGAGGCAGAGACACAGGCAGAGGAAGAAGCAGGCTCCATGCAGGGAGCCCAATGTGGGACTCAATCCCGGGTCTCCAGGATCACGCCCTGGGCCAAAGGCAGGCACCAAACCACTGAGCCACCCAGAGATCTCAAGTCATGATTTTAAAGCAAAGATATTATAACTTATTTTATTGTTTCTTAGGCAAAAATCTATTTGCTTTTTTTCATTCAACTGCTTTTAAAAAGTGCTACTAGAAAGAAGAGTTACTCAAGGGGTGAGACTATCCATAAGAAAGGAAGTATGATTTTTCCTCAACTGGGCTGATGAAAGCTTGTGAATAAATTCAGAGGACACAGAAGAAACAGAACTATTCTTTACCCAACCTTGTGAATAAGAAAAAAGACTAGGGAGATAAGGTAATGTGCCCAAATGGACTAACCTGTCAAGAAAGAATAAAGGTCAAAGGAAGCTAGGAAGAATAATTGACATTTCTGAGATTTTGAAACTCATGAATTAATATGAATAGACAGATCTTAATGTAATAGGAACACTAAATATGTAGCAGCCATAATGAACTTCTCCCTGCAGAACTTGCTGATATGGTTCTTCCAGCAACTGAGAAGTCTCACATAGGGGATATGCTGAAGAGATGGGAAATATGAAACATAGAGGCATAAGAAACTGCCAAATCTGCTCTATGTGGCCAGTTATCTAGCCTCATATAGTCTCATACCCAGCAATAACCAAGGAAGCACAACCACAGGCCATAGCTAATCCATTTTGTTAACATTTGTAAAGAAAAAATGTTCTATGGAAAGGGGACAACTGGGGTGCCAGGGTGACACAGTTGGTTAAGCACCCGATTCTTGATTTCAGCTTAAGTCATGAACTCAGAGTTGTGAGATGGAGCCCCATGTCAGGCTCCATGTGGAGCCAGCTTAAGATTCTCTCTCTCCCTCTCCCTCTGCCCTTCCCTCACTCACACTCTCTCCCCCCCCTTCCCTCTCTCTCTCTCTCTCAAAAAAAAAAAGGAAGGAAGGAAGGAAGGAAGGAAGGAAGGAAGGAAGGAAGGAAGGAAAAGAAAGAAAAGAAAAAAGAGAAAAGAAAAAAGAAAAAAGAAAAGAAAAAAGAAAAAAAAGAAAAGAAAAGAAAAGAAAAGAAAAGAAAAGAAAAGAAAAGAAAAGAAAAGAAAAGAAAGAAAAGAAAGAAAAGAGGTATTCTGTTTGTGGTCCAGAAAGGGGGAGCCAAAGAACAAGAATTTGGCAGAGTTTATCCAACCTGTCCAAAAACAGAGAAACACTAAATCTATTATCTATTTACTGGGAGAGCTTCCTTTCTTTGTGGACAAGAAACTATATAAGGCATCTTCATGGCCTTGATGAAATGGCCCTTGGGACTACTAATTTCATTTCCTCAGATTCCCTGCTTACCCATCAGCCTTCTAATAGTCAATTAACTTCTTAGATACCATATTCCTGGGAATAGGGAATCATGACCAACAGAGATGAATGTATACTGGAAAATACACTGTAAAGCTGGAGCTCTCGTTGTAAATTAATAATAAGTATACTGTAATTAATAAATTAATAAAAAATATATTTTTTAAATTAATAAAAAATATACTGTAAAGCTGGAGCTCTCACTGCAAATTAATAAATTGGTGTCCAGTTTTGTAACTGACTGTTGTCAATTTCACTAGTGTGGGTTTGTGCCACAAAGGACCTGGTTACAGGGCAAGCCCAGGTGGCTCAGTGGTTTAGCACTGCCTTCAGCCTGGGGCCTGATCCTGGAGACCCAGGATCGAGTCCCACGTCAGGCTCCCTGCATGGGGCCTGCTTCTCCCCCTGCCTGTGTCTGTGCCTCTCTCTCTGTGTGTGTGTGTGTGTGTGTGTGTGTGTGTCTCATGAATAAATAAAATATTCTTTAAAAAAAAGACCTGGTTACATTTAGGTTCACTGACAAAACCAGGTTTTTAGACCTATAAAGGGCAAACTAGATTCTCAGTCATAGTGATCCTATGAATGTATCTGGTGAAGCCTTTCTCTAGCAACTTCAACACAAGTCAAACTTATTTAGATCAACAACTTGAAGGAAAAAAAGAAACAAACAACTGGAGATTTGAACTGTGAACCCCAGGACTATTGGTACTACATTACAGCACTAAAATATCCCGCTCTTGTCCAAGTTTGTAAATAAGAAAAAAAATCATAAAATACCTACATGTGGGCAAATTGCCGTGTTGACAAAAAGTGTCACCTGATTTAGCATTCTAGTCCTCCTCACATGGTTTGGATGAGGCGTTAACTGAGCTTCAATGCAACAATGACAATTCATATTTATGTTTTACATTCCCTAAGAAGCAGTCGATGAGGCTTCATAAACCACATTTTTTAAAAAGATTTATTTATTCATGAGAGACACAGAGAGAGAGAAGCAGAGACACAGGCAGAGGGAGAAGCAGACTCCTTGCAGGGAGCCCAATGTGGGACTTAATCCTGGATTCTGAGATCACACCCTGAGCCAAAGGCAGACTCTTAACCACTGAGCCACCCGGGCATCCCCATAAACCACATTAAAGGACAGGCAGTCAGGAAGAGAGCCGCACGTGACTGTCTGATGCCCTCAATGCAATTAAAATATGTTGCTTTCAGGATGTTAAGAGTTGCATAGACCTTTAAATTTCCCAATTCCCTTGGAAATCAAACAATAACTCAAAGACTCCATTTTCTCCAGAATGTGGCGGTACATCCTATTATCAATCCCAGGGAGCAAAATACTGAATGGTAATTCCAAAATAAGTGAGGAAATAAAGGAGATTAGATGGCATTCCAACAAAGGGCTTCATTTTATAAAATAATAAAGGTCAGGAAAGCCCCAAATTAATGAGAGTCTGACATCACTGACAGCCAATTTTCCACAAAAACTCTGTAGAGCTGGTGGGCTAGTTATAGTCTGACACTCCTGGAATAGACTGGACAACCAGCAAGATCAGAATGGTTGCCTGCGTCTAACAGTGGCTAAAAATAACTAGTCTTCCTGGCACACAAAGTGAGATCATAAGAAGACAAGACTAAAATCTTTATTTTGTTTTCTTTTTTTTTTCCTTCAAGACTAAAACCTTTAAATCACACTTCTTAAAATATTAGTTCAGTACACCAATGACCACCTCTCTTAGAGGTACAAATAGATGGGCAACCTGACCCAAAAAGACCATTGCCCAGCAGGTGGCATAAATGTTCTCCATCTAATGTGCATCTGTGTCTAAGGAACATCACTGGATTTGTCTAGAAATCTTTACAATCTGGAGCCAGCTAAGATGTCCACATACCATGAAAAAATGAGTACCCTAGTGAAACTAGTAAAAATACAAGCAAAGTATACCCACCGAGAAAAAGTAGTTTTTCAATAAATGGTGCTGGGACAACTGGTTGTCCACATGCAAAAGAATGAAGTCGGAACCTCATCTCACAGCATATATAAAAATAACTCAAAACAGGGCAGCCCGGGTGGCTCAGCAGTTTAGTTAGTGCTGCCTTCAGCCCAGGGCCTGATCCTGGAGACCCAGGGTCGAGTCCCACTTTGGGCTTCCTGCATGGAGCCTGCTTCTCCCTCTGCCTGTGTCTCTGCCTCTCTCTGTGTCTCTATGAATAAATAAATAAAATCTTTTAAAAAAATAACTCAAAATAAATACATGAAGTATAAGACTCTTAGAAGAAAACACAGGAGCAAGTCTTTATAACCTTGGGTAGGCAATGGTTTCTTAGGTATGACACCAAAAATACAAGGGACAAAAGAAAAAATAAAACTATGCTGAAAATGATACCATCAAGAAAGTAAAAAGACAACCCACAGTACTGAAGAAAATATTCGCAAATAATATTTCTGATAAAGAACTTGGATCTACACAGAATAAAAACCTCTTACAATTTAACAACAAAAAGACCCAATTTAAAAATGAGTTTTCTCTATTTCTCCATGCCTCCAAGAGGACATCCAAAGAGCCACTTAGTACATTTTAATGCTCCACATCATTAGTCATTAGGGAAATGCAAATCAAGACTACAGGGAGATACCACTTCATACCCACTAAAATGTCTATAATCAAAG